GAGGGCTTACAGCGGCTGTTTTTGGCGTTTTTTTCTACAGCCAGTAAACCCCCCAGCATGTTATCCTATGTGTCCATACACACAGAGACTGGAATCAACGTTTTTTGGCTGGTAAAAAAAACCCCAGGACTAGTGGGCTTCTAGAGGAGTTTTTTAGATATAAAAATGCTCTAACGAGGCAAAATGCCGCAAACCAGCATTTTTTTTTTTTTTTTTTACCAAAAAATCCAATTTTTTTTGGTGAACAAACGCTAAAACAAAATGCCAAACGCAGAAAAACATGGGAAACGCAGCTAAACGTGGTAAAACGCTAATGAAAAAATGCTAAAAAAAAAGCTGAAAAGCTCACGTTTTTTAACGTAACTTTACACGGCTAACGTTACCAGCGTTATCAAAACGTCCCGTGTGCATGAGGGCTTACAGCGGCTGTTTTTGACGTTTTTTTCTATAGCCAGAAAACCCCCAGCATGTTATCCTATGTGTCCATACACACAGAGACTGGAATCAACGTTTTTTGGCTGTGAAGAAAAACCCGGAACTAGTGGGCTTCTAGGAGAGTGTTTTTAGCTGTAAAAAAAAGCTCTAACGCGGTAAAATGCCACAAACCAGCATTTTTTGGACTTTTTTAAACCAAAAAAATCCAATTTTTTTTTGGTGAACAAAACGCTAAAAAAAAAAGGCTAACCGTGGAAAAACGCAGCTAAACACGAATGCAAAAATGCTAAAGAAAAGCTGAAAAATGCACGCTTTTAAATGTGACTTTACACAGCTAATGTTACCAGCGTTATCAAAACGTCCCGTGTGTATGCAGCCCAACACATAAACGAGGCGTGACGACTCCCGGAATGCCCGTGGCGTACCACTATTTGAGAATCGCACAGCCATTCGCAATCAAGTGCCTTCTGACATGTTCTAACTAGAAACGCACTTTCCTGGGTCAGACGGCCAGTGGACTCAGTCTTTACGGAGTAGCAGAAGAAAGAACATGTGAGCGCTTGATGTGGCTCAACCTTCTAGATTTGACCAGACCAGGGGTAGGCAACCTGCGGCTCTCTAGCTGTTGTGGAACTACATTTCCCATGAGGCATTGCAACATTACAAGACTGACAGTTACAGCTATGACTTGCAGAGGCATGATGGAACTTGTAGTCCTGCGGCTCTCAGGTTGCCTACTCCTGGACCAGACCCTCCTGTCGATATAATATTCTCCTGGTGTGATCCCCTGGAGCCCTTTCTTTGTCTTTACTATTCTTTTCTTCTTTCTTCGCTTTTCTCTTTTCTTTTTTTGTTTATTTTTTGTCTCTGTCAGTTTTTATGTTCTATGCACTGACTGCGATACCCCTAGAGAACTGTGCCTGTAATGTCTTATACACCGGTCAGACTTTCTCGGAAGTCCTTGGTGTAGAGTTCCGATATGCGTCCAGTGAGACTTTATGCTCAGCTTTTCCTATCATCTGTATGCGACTCTGGTGTCTATCCTTGGTCTATGCTCACCAGCTCATTGGTTAGTATTTGCCGTTTATAGGTTCTCATTCCATCCCTTTACAGCAGTGGTTCTCAAGCTTCCTAATGCCGCGACCCTTTAATACAGTTCATGTTGTGGTGACCCCCAACCATAACATTATTTACCCAGTAATTGTAATTCATGAAGTGTCGTTTTACCTTCAATACTGCTGCTTTCAGCACAGTGCTGCTTTCAGCACAGTAGCTGCTTTCAACACAGTAGCTGCTTTCAGCACAGTAGCTGCTTTCAACACAGTAGCTGCTTTCACACAGTAGCTGCTTTCAACACAGTAGCTGCTTTCAGCACAGTATCTGCTCTTTACACATCAGAAATATGTGTTTTCCGATGGTCTTAGGCGACCCCTGTGAAAGGGTCGTTCGACCCCCAAAGGGGTCGCGACCCACAGGTTGAGAACCACTGCTTTAGAGATTGTGTGTTTGTACTCCGCTTCCCTCCGTGTCCATATTTCAGTGCGTTTGTTATTTCCTTCACTAATAGAATTGTACACCTTACTTTTTTTGCATCAGGAGCTTGTCTCTGTTTCTTTGTTGTGTTGTCTATAATAAAATTCATTGTAAAAGAAAGAACATGTGAGCGTTGCGCTGTTGGCGGAAAATGAGTGACAAGAATCTGCGGCGGCGGTTCGACATCAAATTTGACGTGGAAATTGGCAAAAGTGCGACTGAGACTATAGGTCTGTTATGGTGAACAATCCATGAAGAAATAAAAGTTTTTTGTTTTTTTTTTAATTGGGAGAGGCAGTTTAGTAAACGCTTCTTGAATAATTTTCCCTACAGGTAAGCCTATCATGACGCCTATAATGACGCTTACCTGTAGGGAAAACGAATATTGCCTTAGCCCGGGGTCACACTGATGCGGTGCGGAATTTGCAGCGCTTTCTGTGCGAATTCAGCACCGCATCAGAATCGCACCTCGTTCATGCGAACCGCTGTGGGTGTGTATGTGAAGTTAACAACACCCCGAAAGCAATCCGCAAAACGCGGTGCGATGTGCAGAATCGGATCGCGTAGGTGTGAATGCCCCTGTGATCCATTCTATTGCGGACCACAAAAAGGGTCCTGCATGTTTTTGGTGTGGGTGCGGTGCGATTAAAATCATACAAAATGTACAGTTTCAGTCGCACCGCACACAAAGCACACGTGATTTGCACAGGAATACGATGTACAGAATCGGATCGCATAGGTGTGAATACCCATGTGATCCGATTCTAGTGTGGACCACAAAAAGGGTCTTGCATGTTTTTCCTGCGGGTGCGGTGCGCTTAGAGCCATACAAAATGTACGGCTCCAATCGCACTGCACACAAATCGCATGTGATTCGCACAGGAATGCGGTGTGATGTACAGAATCGGATCGCATAGGTGTCAATACCCATGCGATCCGATACTAGCACGGACCACAAAAAGGGTCCTGCATGTTTTTGGTGCGGGTGCGGTACGATTAGAGTCATACAAAATGTACGGCTCCAATCGCACTGCACACAAATCGCATGTGATTCGCACAGGAATGCGGTGTGATGTACAGAATCGGATCGCATAGGTGTCAATACCCATGCGATCCGATACTAGCACGGACCACAAAAAGGGTCCTGCATGTTTTTGGTGCGGGTGCGGTACGATTGGAGTCATACAAAATGTACGGCTCCAATCGCACCGCACACAAATCGCATGTGATTCGCACAGGAATGCGGTGCGATGTACAGAATCGAATCGCATAGGTGTGAATACCCATGTGATCCAATTCTAGTGTGGATCACAAAAAGGGTCCTATGCCTTTTTGGTGCGGGTGCGGTGCGATTAGAGCCATATCGCACCGCACACAAATCGCATGTGATTTGCACAGGAATTCGATGTGGTTCCTGTGCGAATCACATGCGATATACCGCACCGCATATATGTGAACCCGGGCTAAATGTGAACCATTTAGGAGATACTGGCCCTTTCTGATATTTGGTGCATGCGTGCCGTTCCTTCAGAGCACCAGTCAGCCGGCCAGAGCTCTCCAACCCAGAAGGAAGAGCAGGTGAGGATGGAAGCTCTGGGGAACCGTGACAACGCTTCACAGGAGGGGGCTTCTTCTCAAGGTAAATCCTCCATAATGTGCTAGTATGCAAAGCAATGCCTTCACCTTGGAGGGGTTTTTTTTTTTTTTCCTTTTCTTTTTAATGCGGTTTACTACCTTTTAACAACTTCCATACTGGGCACTTATACCCCCTTCCTGCCCAGGCCAATTTTCAGCTCTCAGCGCTGTCGCACTTTCAATGGCAATTGAGCGGTCATACATCACTGTACCCATATGACTTTTTTATCATTTTTCTGAGACAGAGCTTTCTTTCGGTGGTATTTAATCACCACTACGTTTTATATTTTTAATAAACCAAGGAAAAAAAAGAATGAAAATTTTGATTAAAAAAAAAAAAGTTTTTCTTAGCGTCTTATACATTTTTTCTTCTTCAGTGATGTAGCTGCACTGATGGGCACTACTGAGGCTGCACTGATGGGCACTACTGAGGCTGCACTGATGGTCAGTAGTGTACCCTGATTGGCTGCACTGATGGTCACTGCCCTGATTATCAGTGTACACAAGCTCTGTCAGGATTTCTGGTTGTTGGCTTTCCAATCCTCTCCTTTTACTTTTTCCAGAAAGGAAAAGCTGATAAAGCGTGTGATCACTAGAAAAAAAAAAAAAAAAAGGGGAGGGGGGAGTAATTTATAATGCTTCTTATGTGTATATATGTATACAACACGTTTTGCCTCTCATTTCTATTGTAAACTGAATGGGTTGTTTTACAAGTTGAGGGTTTATATATACTTTAAAACTTTCCTAAGAAGACCAGAAGTTCAGGGAAGCAGCACTGGGAGAACATCACTAAAGTGCTGAAGGTATGAATTTTACCAAAATAACTTACAGGGGAATGTTTATTTTATTGTGCTCACTGTGTTAAAGGATAATTCACCCATATTCAGGGTGTAATATGTTATGATCAGACTGGCCCCCTCTCTGACAGCTAGTGGAGGGATCTTCTCCCCCGTCGCTAGCTGTCAAATTAAAAAAACCCATGGCCGTGCGGGGCTCCGCCCACCCAGTTGTGTCACTCATTTACTGTGTTCTGTGAATGAGAAACTACCAGTCTTGTCAGCCTTAGCGGCTGCTGGCTTGTAATTCTCAAACTACGATGGCGCTGTGGAGTGCCATGGTAGTTCCTGGAGTCTTCCTGTCAGTATATCGGCTTGCCAATATATCCTGGCAAAATGTTGGTATAGCCGGGTGTCGCGTGCGTCCCTGTACCTTTAAGGAGGGATGGGCTCCTCCAGGTACACCTGCCCCTTACCTATCCATTGATACATGTGCTCCTACTATGGAGGCTTTGGAAATTTTAGTTAGGTCCACAGTATACACAGGACCCTTGACTCGTGACTGCGGCTTACGCATGTATTTGCAAATGTGTGCAAACAAAGCCCTCTGTTTTTAACCACTTCCCATCTGGCCGTTTATATACATGGGCCAGGGCGGGTTGCCGTTCATAAACAGCGCCCGCCATTTTAGCCTAGGAGCGCGCAGCACACGCGATCCAGTGCCCGCTGTGTCCTCTAGACACAGCCAAACACCGATCGTTTGTATGGGACCTCACACAGTGGAACACTGATCGCTGTACGGGACCTTTGTGTGAGGTCCCGATCATGTGATCAGTGATTGGCCAATCAGTGATCACATGAATAGTAATAAGCAAGATGTCACTTCTGACATCATTGCTTGCTACTAGTGAAATCTGTGAATGATCACCGAGGTCACATGGTACAGGGCTATTCACAATAGCCTTGTACCATGTGACAAGCTGTGACCAATCACAGCTCACGCAGTATTTCTCAATGGCTGCAAGAATGCAGCCAGAAAGAAGGAGAAATGATTGATTTTACAGCCTTTATGGGTGTAATAGCAATCAGTGTAAAAAAAAGAAAAAAAATCTTCATCACCCCCCACATGTAGTGACACTGTACTGCTAGGGTGACAGTATGTTTAAAAAAAAAAATGAATATAAAAAAATAAAATAAAAATGTAAAAAAGTTTTTTGAAAAATTATAATTCTTAGTAAAAAAAAAATTGCCAAATTTGTTTATAACCAACAAGATAGCTGAATACATTTTGGCCAAGATTTATGAAGAAAGAATAATTATTTTGAAAATTTTATAAGAAAAACACTTTTTTCAAAAATTTTTAAGTTTCATTTATATAGCAACAAAATAAAAATCCCAGTGGTGAATAAATACAACCAAAATAAAGTTTTATCTGTCTAAAAAAAAAATGCTAAAAAAATTAATATGGGTACAGTGTTGCATGACCGCGCAATTCTCATTCAAAGTGTGATAGCGCTGAAAGCTGAAAATAGGCCTGGACTGGAAGGGGGGGAAAGTGTCCGGACTGGAAGTGGTTAATGCATACTGTTAGACGGCCAAATTGGTTGTTTCGCAGGCTGGCTGGTAAGTGTTGCTGGGGAATCCTTTTTTTTGTTTGCGATGCACCACCAGCCCTGAACCATTGATACAAGGCCACCACCACCAGCCTGGATACAAGGCAGGACGGATCACCACACCATGACACCACCCAGCACCACCACCAACCATTGATACAAGGCAGGATGGATCCCCCACACCATGACACCACCACCACCAGCCTGAACCATGGATACAAGGCAGGATGGATCCCCCACACCATGACACCACCAACACCTGCCTGAACCATTGATACAAGGCAGGATGGATCCACCACACCATGACACCACCACTACCAGCCTGAACCATTGATAAAAGGCAGGATGGATCCCCCACACCATGACACCACCACCAGCCTGGACCATTGATACAAGGCAGGATGTATCCCCCACACCATGACACCACCACCACCAGCCTGAACCATTGATACAAGGCAGGATGGATCCCCCACACCATGACACCATCACCACCAGCCTGGACCATTGATACAAGGCAGGATGGATCCATGCTTTCATGTTGTTTACACCAAATTGTGACCCTTCTATCTGAATGTCGCGGCTGGAATCGAGACTCATCAGACCAGGCAACGTTTTTCCAGTCTTCTATTGTCCAATTTTGGTGAGCCTGTGCGAATTGTAGCCTCTGTTTCCTGTTCTTAGCTGACAGGAGTGGCACCCGGTGTGGTCTTCTGCTGTTGTAGCCCATCTGCTTCAAGGTTGGACGTGCGGTGCATTCAGTGATGGCATTCTGCATACCTTGGTTGTAATGAGAGGTTATTTGAGTTACTGTTGCCTTTCCATCACCTCAAACCCATTCTCCTCTGACATCAAAAAGGCATTTTTGTCTGCACACTGGATATTTTCTCTTTTTCGGACCATTCTCTGTAAACCCTAGAGATGGTTGTGCATGAAAATCTTTTTAAAATACTCAGACCAGCCCGTCTGGCACCAACAACCACACTACTTTTCAAAGTCACTTAAATCCCCTTTCTTCCCCATTCTGATGCTCGGTTTGAACTTCAAGTCGTCTTCACCACGTCTAGATGCACTGAGTTGCTGCCATGCGATTGGCTGATTAGCAATTTGTACTACCAAGCAATTTAGCAGGTGTACCTAATAAAAGTGGCCGGAGAGTGCCATCACCCCAGTTGGGTCCTAGAACCCACCTTGCACCAGACCTAGCCTTTCTAACCTGTGCACCACAAGCCATAATGTCAGAGAAAGAGGTTTAATGACCAGTCTGTGAACTGAAATCCAGACATTTAATCTTCTTCAGCTCCTGGAAGGTCATTCAGGACATCCAGCTAAATTTCTGCCATATCATTTGTGCCGCTGTAAAATGTTATCGATTAAACTCCTCCTGTAAGCTGCAGATAATTAATTAGAGCTCAATGTCGTTATGAAGACGGCAATGTGAACAGTCAGAGCAAGGGCCAGAAAAACCAAAAGAAATACATGTATGGCGCAGATGCCTCCTATATTCCCATTTCAGAAAAGGATCATTGAACCCGGGTAAGCCGTCCTGCATATCGAGGTTTAAACTCCCAAACTCCAGTTTTATTCGACATTTTTCTAAGCCGGGTATTACATAATCTGCATTAATTCCTGCTGAACGCACAGAAGGTGACCCAGTTTTCTGCGAATCCAACTCCGTGAATTAATCTTCTTCTGACAGCAGTGTCTGGAAAAAGTGCACCTCGCTGTACGCCTTACAGAGTCGTCTTACTTTTTATATGCTGGTGGATATTAACCCCTCGCCTACCGGGCACTTATACCCCTTCCTGACCCCCCAGGCCAATTTCCAGCCCTCAGCGCTGTCACACTTTGAATGACAATTGCGCGGTCATGCAACACTGTACCCATATGACATTTTTATAATTTTTTTTGTGACAGATAGAGCTTTATTTTGGTGGTATTTAATCACCTCGGGGTTTTTTATTTTTCTTAAACAAACCAAAAACCGCTGAAAACTAAAAAAAAAAATTAGTTTTTGTTGTAAAATTTTGTATATAAGTGATTTTTTCTCCTTCACTGATGTGCGCTAATGAGGCTGCAGTGATGGGCACTGATAGGCTGCACTGATGTACACTGATAGGTGGCACTGATGGGCACTGATGAGGAGGCGCTGGCAGGTGGGCATTGTTGGGCATTGACAGGCATCACTGATGGGCTCTGAAAGGCAGCACTGATATATGGCACTGGTAGGCAGCACTGACTGGCACTGATATGTGGCACTGATAGGCAGCACTGATAGGTGGCACTGACTGGCACTGATGGGTGACACTGAAAGGCAGCTCAGATGGGCACTGATATGTGGCATTGATGTGCACTGGTAGGCACTGATATGTGGCATTGATGTGGCACGTGGCACTGTTCAGCACTGGCAGCTGGCACTGATGGACACTGACAGGTGGCACTTCTGGGGCCACACTGATCATCAGTGCCCTGATGATCAGTGTAGATGTCCCCTCCGCGGAATGCCGTTTACAGGCTCTCCTCTTGAGCTGTCAGCATGACAGCTCGTGAGGACAGAAATGACGATAACCGGCATTTCCCTGTTTACATGTGATCAGCTGTGATTGGACACAGCTGATCACATGACTGAGCATACATCTTTGGCTCTTTCCGTAGTTCAGGGATCCGCTGTGTTCGAGGGACACAGCATACCGCCGATCGCCGTGCTGCGCGCTCCCTGAGCCGCGCACGTGCTGTGAGAATGGGAGGACGTCGTATGACGTCCTCCCAGAAGGAGAAAACCACCTTGCGCCCGTCATTGGACTATATGCAAATGAATGGGCTCTCATGCCCGAGCAAAACACGGCTGCATAAATGTGAACCGGGGGTTAAGGTTGCATACCCCAGCTGTAGGACAATACTGAATCAAGTCAGTTGGACAGGTGAAAAATACAAAAATAAGAATGTAATTGGTGTTAAAAAAAAAGAAGAAGAAGGCGCAATTGTATTGTAAGATAAAAGAAAAGTCCAGATGTCTGTTACAAGTATATGAGGTCTAATTCATAATAATAATAATTAAAAAAAACAGCAATGTTTCTTGCCATCAAGGATGCCAACTTTCAGTAAATTTACTGACAGTTTGTAAAAAAACAGTGACTTTTACAATTGTCCATAAATTTCAGGAGCTGATCATTTGTCATGCTGGGTTGACTTTTGTCAGTGTAAACCAGTCAAATCACTTGTTGTGGGAATTGTTTCCACGTCCTGTTTAACCCCTCGCCTACTGGACACTTATACCCCCTTCCTCCCTACTGGACACTTATACCCCCTTCCTGCCTACAGGACACTTATACCCCCTTCCTGTCCTGGTCAATTTTCAGCTTTCAGCGCTGTCTCATTTTGAATGACAATTGCGCGGTCATGCAACATTGTACCCGTATGAAATTTTTATCATTTTTTTTCACACACAGAGAGATTTCTTTTGGTGGTATTTACTTGCTACTGGGTGTTTTATTTTTTTTGCTATAAACAGAAAAAGAGTAAAAATTTTGAGAAAAAAAAAAAAAAGTGTGTGTTTCCACCATAAAATTTTGCAAACAGATAATTTTTCTCCTTCACTGATGTGTGTTGATGAGGCTTCACTGATAGGCAACACTGATGGGAACTGATAGGAAGCACTGATGGGCACTGATAGGCGGCACTGATGGGTGGCACTACTAGGCACAGGTGGGTGGCACTGCTGGGCACAGGTGGGCGGCACGTCTGGGCACAGGTGGGCGGCACTGATGGGCACAGGTGGGTGGCACTGCTGGGCACTGGATGGCGGCACAGGGGCAAGGAGGGCGGCACTGCTGGGCACCGATCATCAGGGCACTGATCTTCAGTGCCCTGATGATCGGTGTCGATCCCTTCTCTGACAATTGCCAGTTATTGGCAAGTGTATGTTTCCATCATAAAATTTTGCAAACAGATAATTTTTCTCCTTCACTGATGTGTGTTGATGAGGCTGCTGCACTGATAGGCAACACTGATGGGAACTGATAGGAATCACTGATGGGCACTGATGGGTGGCACTACTAGGCACAGGTGGGTGGCACTGCTGGGCACAGGAGGGTGGCACTGCTGGGCACAGGAGGGCGGCACTGCTGGGCACCAATCATCAGGGCACTGATCTTCAGTGCCCTGATGATCGGTGTCGATCCCTTCTCTGACAATTGCCGGTTATCGGCAAGTGTGTGTTTCCATCATAAAATTTTGCAAACAGCTAATTTTTCTCCTTCACTGATGTGTGTTGATGAGGCTGCACTGATAGCCAACACTGATGGGCACTGATAGGAATCATTGATGGGCAC